GAGGATCACAAAGTTCCCCCGATAGCGTGGTCGATATCTACGATACGCGGGGTACAGTACTTCAAGAGAGCACACTCGTGAGGAGGGACTAATTTTATGTTCCAAGAGCTCTGACCACTTCTTGAGAGTGAAGCCACCTATTTGTAATGGGATCCCCATTTCCGATGAGATGTCGCCCTCATCTCTAATCTTAATTGACGGTGTCGACTGCGAGAAGATTGAGTTTAAGCACCAGCCTACGATCTTAAACAAAACTGTCCTTGAGCCGAGCAAGTATACGGAATCTATAGTGATTTTCCTATCTGAATGTTTCACCTAAGAACGCGCCATGGTGCTTAACCTCGGTAAGAAAGAAGGGTACCATAGCAAAATAACGATCCTCTTTCTACCGATTTCCCTGGTGTCTTGGTCGGAGGTTAGCTAGTATTATGAGGTCAGAATACAATACAGGCCCGGAGGGGATGAAGAGAGGAACGAATATAAACTTGGGGCAGGACAGACACGATCAACTGATTAAAAAAAGGCAGTCGGTCTGATCCAAGGCTTTCAATGACTGCCGAGAAACTCCCTCACAGGAGGTCACTCCGGTCCTAGTTTTACCTCATTACAGTTTTATCATGTATGGTAATGGGTAATACACATGAGAATAGCCCGGGGATTTACAGCTATAACAAACCCCTACACGATATAAGTTCAATATTACTCTCCCGAGCTGCTCGTAGTGTGCAGCGCATATTGTTGAGGCTAGTCTCGGAAATTCAACACCGGACTCTGCTTCGGAATCCTCCCCAGTGGTTAGTTTTAGGCAGTAGTTTAGCTGTATCTCTCCTTCCGTGATATTGTGGTTTTTGGATGGATCCGTGCATCCTCGGGAGCATTTTTTTTTTCTCTTCTAAGGCACTTCTATTCAGGAGTCTTCTCAGGATCATGGACAACCTGAGAATCATCACTTATCACCCGCTCAGGAGTTATAGGTTTTTTGTTGGGAGGTCTTGCGAAGGGTATGCGGTGGTCGACGTCAAGTCGCGGCCTTTGGGATACGAAAGGAGAAGGAAGCGGAACGAGGTGAAATTGGAGCAAAGGTAAATAGCGATAGTCCGGTTGATTGATTGTTTTCTTGAGTCTCCAAGCAACATAATAATAAAAATACACTGTAATATATATATTTCACTCTTCCACCCTTCCAGTGTGGTGCCGAAGGTGCGTTATCCTACAGCGTGGGTCCGCGTACGCTAGATACCTCCGCTAGCCAATGCCAGAATATGACCGGATAATTGAGGAGGCTCGGGAGCTGAATGCGATATTGAACCTAGGAGCGAATACCAATCCAGCGGGCAAGAAGCCAGAAGTAGAAACGGTATTCAACAATTTTAGTACCCCATTCAATCCATATGGATATACCCCTATACCCTATAGTGCTGAATTCTCCTACATTTTGATAAACACTATTTGGTGGGTTAGTTGTAAGCCGGTTCTCGTGGCAGTAGCACAATCGCGAGTTTTCCAGCTGCTTTCCAGAAGGTGTGGCGCCAGGCAGACCCGGGAGTTTAGGAATACCTGGGCTATCGTAGCGATATTATCAACTAAGTTAAAGATGACTCGGCTAATGGCGGAAATTACAAGATTACCATACTAGAGAAGGATCAGGAATGGTCTTGTAGCCCAGCCTGAAGCCCTCCTCAACCGGGGACCTGGCTAACTACTTTAGTGTAATGTCAAGTTAGCAAGTAGCCATGCGAGGCTTTGAAGTTCTTCTCGCGTCCATTCCATAGCGACACTACTGGGGGATCTACAGTTTATGGAAAAATTCGCCTGTTTTTCCCTCCTTTCGCAAAATGTTGCGAAGCGCAAGAACAAGGTACTTGAGGGAGACCGTTAGCGGTCATCATCCGTTCCTGGTCGCGGATTTCTGCCATGCCTACAAGTTTCTTCCATTCCTCCTATCTGGCCTTTTCCGCCCTCCGGCCGTTCTCCGGGTCGATGGGATAGTGCACCCCGTCAATACCGTCATGAGTGATCACTCAGATATAGGGTAACAGGGCGTGTTCGTATATAGTTTCTTTCTCCTCTCAAATGCTTCTTTCGGATCTTTATCTTCCTTCAAGTCTAGTCCTATTTAGGGCTAGTATATGTTTTCCCTCTCGTTGTTTCTCAATGGTTTCTTTGAGGATCTTTGTTTCTCTTGATTCTTTAACGCGGGTGTTGAGGAGTCCAGATGGTGACAGCAGGGGTGAAGCACTTCACTATATAGCTGAACTGCATTCTTCTTGTAGTTCGTATTGTATCAGTTTTCTCTAATTCAAAAACAATCTTAACTATTTTCTATTATTACTTCTCCGCCCAAAGCAATCGCATATTACTACAGGGCCCCCCCGTCCGGTATCCCTCGGCATTTTTTCCTCCCATATAATGCCCCTAGAGGGCTGGTATTTCACTATACTGGGCCGGTCAAAGAGGTAACACCCTCGAGGACCTGTTTAATACTAGTAGAGAGTTTATCAAACATAGAAACATTCTGTGTATTCACCATTAGAGGGAATAGGCATGCCTTACGATGCGGGGCCGTTGAAAGCAATCCAAAAAATTATCAATTGATAGAGCTGTGATTTTTGATATCATATGATAGCTTTGGAATAGAATTTTCAGTCTTATCGGCCATAGAGGGCCGAACCGCGAAATCCCTTTCCTCATAGATCATTCGATATGAGCCCACATACATATTATAATCCGTATGAACCTATCAGCTGAAGGGTATCAGACAGGAAGAAGGAGAAAAAATCACCAACCCCCACCAATACTTACCAATCCACGTTACATCCTGGCATACAGCTTTTCTATTGCCACTACACCACCCCCTAAGGGTTAGCATCCCGCACTGTCGTCCAGGTCCAGATCCTCCCCTACTCCGGGGCGTTGAACCTCTTCTGCAATAATTCAATTCGGGCAGTCCCTTGCCCTTGTTCCCCTCTTTCCGGCATTAACAGATCAACTCGAGCCCGTTATTATCTTGTTTTTCCGGAAGTCCCTCCCCCACACACCCCACGCCTACGCAGACGGGGCTGCCTTCGCACCGGCCGAGAAGGTTTATGGGGAGTTTGACGGCTGCAGTTGTATTACCCTCTAGAAGGGTTGGGTAGAGGGATGGAGGAGGGGGAGCGAAGGGAGGGAAGAAAGAGGATACATTTCCCACTACATGACCTGCCCTCGTAGTTTTTGTGCTCGGGTAGCAACGGGCATGGGTTCGGAGCGTCCGATTTGTCGATTCAATTAGGCTCTTGCGCCACAGTTTTCTACCGGTTAATACCGCTACTATTGCCGTCCACCGTTCACCCCTCCTACATAGGGAAAGTGCCCTATCATGGCCGACTGAATATACGATGCGAAGCGTTCAAAGTGTGTCCCAAGCTCGTTGCATAATTTAATGACTCCTTTTTTAAGAAAAAAGGGCTGTAAATATGGAAAGTGGGATCAGAGGGTCCCTTTCTCAATTCCTGTCAAGTTTTCCTTGTTTTCTTCCTTCACACTGCACAACTCTACCGTAACATTTCATGGGCAAAATGAAAAAGAGCCCAAACTCTCTGACCAACCACTCCAAGGGCCGCCTACCCGTACCGGCAAAGGCCAGCGTCATAGATCCTATCCGATACTCCCTGCCTCCTATAATATATTCTCAGACTATCCCTTTGGTCGGCCGGTATATTAAAGGCGTGTATCATCTCAAGGTCCTATGCCCGCCTCCCTGTCATCTTCCTCACCCCCCCCCGAAAAACAAAAAAACTTCTCCCCATCGACAAGAACTGCGAACCCATCACTTCAACACCCTAATCCTTTCACTCAACCTGTAGTGAAACTGCCTCCCATCCATCAATCCAGCACCAACAGCCCCTTATTGCCACTCATTCAGCCCAGATCCAGCTCTAGGGCCTGTTTGGATACGGCCGCTCCGTTCCGTCCTCCCCTACGAACAACCATTACCCTTCCGTTATGAAACCACCGAACAGAACCGGTGTTCAGCAATCATCAAGCCCAGTGACCGTCCCGTTTCAAAGCAGCAATAACAGAACAGCTGCATTGCGTGGGGACAAGTGATGCAGATTGGAGACAACTGTTTCGACAAGTCAATCCATTACCAAACGGAAAGGTTGCCGGTAGTTCCACTTTTGCCAAGCAGGCCCTTAAACCTGCACTATATCGCTCTCCCGTAATACACTAAAACCTGGAGAATCTGCTTGGGACACGTTCGGCGGGTTTGTGAGGCTCGCACCCGTGCGGCGCCGTCGGTGTTGTGGTCTAGTGTTATGGTGCTGGCCTGAGATGGCATCCCCAGGGATTGGTCCGAGGGCCTTTATGACGGAAGGCGCAGTGGAGGAGTATTTGCGGTTGAGTTGGGTAATTGCTCCCGGGAGAATTTTTAGGATCAAAATTTCCTAGGCCTGCAGCGCCATGCTGGAGGGTGCAAGTATAGTTCCATCATAGCTTATATACAGCTGTCACAAATGAGCGCGGAAGAGATTGTATAGAGGATGAGTGAAAAATGACTGGTGGGTTAACTAGGGAGTTACTTGTAGTGCCATCCGAGGCATAAATCAAGATGTGGGCTTGAGTTACTCCCTCCGGGCGTCTGACGCGCAGCGGGTATGATATGATAATTATTATCTTATAATTATATTAGTATTACCACATTGATTAGCCTTGGCACAGCTCCTCCGGGCATCTAGTAATACTAGTTAGCACCACGGTCCTACTATCCACGAGAGGCGGTAGCACGGTGCTCAGGCAATAGCCGTAATTCCATGTGTCACGCGTAAATAAACAAACCAGTCCTACCCATCATTTCCACTTGGACTGGACAAGCAGATTCACACAGCCCGAGCCGACCACGTCCACCAATCCGCCGCCAGAATATCGCTTACTACATAATAGCCTCAAAGGTGCAAAACAACAATATAAGAACTGCACTCAATCCCCAGCCTCAAAAAAAAAAAACTCTCCCTCCGGATCCTCTAACAGCACCTCAAAGATGTGCAAAATGCACTCGAGTACCGCTTCCTGCGGTAAACTGCCAACCCACCACTCCCCCAACCAGCATCAGGCAAACCAAGCACGCAGGCGCGCAGGCAGCAACTTCCCTCTTGGAAACAAAACTCCCGGACATCCCGAATACAGCGCTCCGGATAAACTATCTCCCACTCCCCAGTTCGCCTCGCAAATCAAATAAACCCACCCACTTGCCGACCTTATACTATACCCCCCACCCACCAAGAGTCCGGACTACCATTCGCCAGAAACCTAGCAACGAGTCAGCCTCCCTGATATTGGACTGCCAACTACCCGACCAGCCAACCAGCAAGGGCGGGAAATACAAAACAGGGCGAGACAACACTCCACCCCGCTGCTAACTGCCCGGCCAGCAAACGGAACGACGGAGCCTTATCAATTTCATTCCGCGCCAATAGCGGGAAAGCGCATGATCCTGGGGGGCTGCGGGAGCGAACTGCGGTGGGGTCTACTGGCTTTCCGCCAGTTAGATCTGTGGACGCGGGCTCTTGGATTCCGGTGCTGGGGAGCGTACCGTGGCGCTATTATATGTCATAGCCTTGGGAATACGGCAGGCACGGCTGGGGAGCCGACAGGTGGAGTTGTCATAATCTGCGGGATTTTTGACTTTTTTTTTTTTCTTTCGTTCAGTTTTACGGGTCATATATGTGATTTTGCGTATGCGGTGGAATTTTTTATACAAGAGTTTAGAGTTTGGGTGTAGGAGGAGAAAAATTGGATCTATTGTGCGTTCGCAAAGAAAATATACTAAGGTACTATGTACTTGCGAGTAACAACAGAGCCAAATACTAACGCCCGCGATATAATAAAAAAGATAAAGAACTCCGCAAGAAAATACCTAGAAATCAAGCAAGTACTGTAAGGAGCGACATGTAACAGAAGTGAAAACATAGACAACTTTTTTCTTCACCCACCACCTCCGTCTTCCCGGAACCTGACCCAAATGGAACCACCCAATGGACACCCTCTGAATATGCTGTAAAATAACGATATTGAATAACGAGAAAAAAAGAGAAAGAAAAAAAAACTCCGGGCGGAACTTGAACGTTTCTAGAGGATCGAGTTCAATGGTCGAATTACCAGCTCCTCTTACCCCTCTTGTTTCCTAGGCGCTGCTTCATAGGAGCCTTCTTTTTCTTCTTCTGGACCTTGGCCTCCTTGACGGAACCACTTTCGAATCCCGAGTCATCGGTATTGCTCCTTTCCAACTTGGGCGCGATCTCAACTACTAGCATCGGTTTCTGCTCGTCAACAATTGCTGCTTGCTTCTCCTGCTCTACAGCAGTCAGGATAGGCTTGACGGGGATTACGCATGGTGAAACTTCCTTGGCTTCCGGGGCGGGTGCCTCGGGTGCCTCGGTTACTTGTGGAATCTCCGCCTTTTGTGGGGCCAAAGGGGTAGGGACAGCCGGCGTATCAACATCATCCTTCACACTCTCGGCCTTCTCTTCTCCGATGTCGAGCTCGACAATCTTATCCAGGCTCTCAATAATCCCTCCCCAATTGCCGGTTCCGCCAACGCTGGAGATTGGGCTGATCGGGGGGCTTCCGTCCCTCTCGGATTCGTCGTCGTATGGGGACGACTCGTCGGAGCTTGTCAAGGACTCTTCCATTGACACCGAGACAGGTTGTCGGATCCACGGGTGGCGCCCGCGGGGGTCAATAATCTCACGGACGCCCCGTTTCTCGCAAATGCCAAATGCTGGGGGCCCGTAGACACGTGGAGCGGGTACAAATACTGAAAATTCTGGCTTAAATTGGACCACGGGGGTATATTCAGGCGCCTGAGGGGTAAGTTCTTGGTCCGAGACCTCCCTTTCATCAAGATCCTTCCTCAAAATCTCCTCATCTGCTTCCTCCTCTTCCATGATCTCCTCCAACCTTCGCGCTTCCTTGTGATTCTTCTCGCCCAATTCATCCTCATCGGATTCCTCGATATCAGAAGAAATTGACTCGGAATAATCGGAGGGCGCCGACTCAGTAGCAGATTTTGACTCCATCATAACGCAGCTACAAAAATGTTTAGCTTTGTCAACTGGTTCCCTAGATTTCTGGAGCAGGGCTGCAAACTTCTCCTCAACATCTTCAAGAAGTTCCGCTACGGTTGGCGAAATATACTCCCTCATAGTGAATGATTCTTGTTCAGCAAGGACCTGAGGAATCTCTTCGTGTGTCTCCCTGACCGGCGTCTCGGCCTGAACCTCCTCGTGGACAATCAAGGTGAATTCGTGAGGTTTGACCGATGATTCTGCTTCGACCGTCAAAGCGGGTTCAATGGCCAAGGACACAATCTCTTCGGTCTCGGCCTCTTCGACAACGGCCTGGGGGATAATCACGGCGTCATCCTCGCTCTTTGCCTTCTCCTTTAGTCGCCATCAGTACCCCACAACGAGATATCTTACACATGTTTCTGGATATAATATTCCATGCATGGTTGAATGCTTACTTCGACAACTTCAACAACAACGGTTTGTATTGGTTCGGAAACTGTTGGGACGGTTTCAACCACGGGGACACACCCGGCCCCAGGAGCGAACTCAGCCACAGGAGGAGACTCGGCCAGGGGAGGAGACCGAGGAGCGGGTTCGGGGATTGGAGTAGGTTCAGCCATGGGAGCAGGCTCAGCGACGGGGGTGACGGCGACAGAGCCCAAATATCTCTTTTTGATGTCCTCGATAACTTCGGGTTTCTTCTACGAAGAAATAAACCATTAATTATCCTCCCAAGGGAAAACTCCAAAAAAGGGAAGTTCTACCTGTTTCAACCGCCATCCCATCTGAGTCGAGATATAAATTGTGCCCACCAGCGATGTGAACAGGTAGATAGGTGCCTGGTTCACAAGTGATAAGTAAATGATCCAGAGTAGGATCAAGTTTCTCGAATTTGCGTACCAAAGGCAATAAAACACAACATATCACCGCCCAGTATAGATAAACCAGAGGTGTGAGAAGTCTGGAGTTCGGAGTAGTTGGGGCAGTATAATATGGCAAAGGGTGAAACAAAGCGTTCCAAAACATTTTTAGTGTGTTCAATAGTATTATAAAAACAGTTTCTGCAAGTTTCTGTAATGTGAATGAACTGAGAATGGAAGAAGAAGAAAAGGAAGAAGAACTCTGAACGCTATGAAATTCGATGGAAGCTGGTTCCCTGTGGTCCATTATGTACTAAAAGACTGGATTCGAACGTGCGCACGACTAGGCTCAGGGTAAGGTAATTTTCTTCTTCTTGCTCTCTGCCTTGGCGTCAGACCCGGCGTGTATGTATGTATGATATGTATGTATGTAGGTCGGAGCTAATTTTCCGCATGCCGCTAAAGATGTTTATATCGAAAATTCATCGAGTGATAAAAAGCAAAATTGAGATCCTTCGTTCGTCGTTGATAGGGATTGCCAAGTCAAACAACTCAAATCGAACACGGCTGTTTGTTAGAAATTCCATTAGTTACACAAGCCTGTGAGGCAGAGTGAACCACAGCGTGCTTTGTGATGTGTTGGCCAAATTCTATTGACGGCTTCTTCCCCCCCCGACGGCGGTGCTAACTTCTAAGTATATCGTGGGCGAATAAGGGCTAACTCGCTTATGCGTCTAACTACTTGAGTACATGGCCGACCCTGGTTGGCGGGGCGGACAGCAAGTTTCCTGCGGGAAAGCAGCTGATTGTCCGCGGCCGACGGCACCTTCTCTGGACGATTTTGCCCCGTTCCTCGCTGCTCACCTCTATGTTTTTTTCTCTAGAGCGACTATGGATTTTCCTAAGATCCCCTCAAAATTGGCTCTCTGCTATCTTGCGGAAAATATTGTTGAAAATATGGACTGGAACGAGCACCAGAACAATTCCTTTGTAAGAGGGAATTGTTAGGAATTGGCGATTTTCGAAAAAATAAAAAAATGTGGATGCAAAAAAGCCAACACCAACTCATTGCGTTGATCGGGATCCACCACATGTGCCCCTATTGTAGAGCCAGCGATGTCGTGCAGCCCCCAGTCTCAATCAGTATTCGATCTTACGGGAATTTCTCGTAAGACTATTCGATCAGGAAGCGCTTGAGTGTCGACTTGTTGACCTGTCGTTTCGAGTCTCTCGTAGGTCGGCCGCCCCCTCGACCACGAACGTTGATTCCGTGGATATTTGTCATCGACGCATCCCAGGACCCCGGGAAGTCCATCCCGTTTCGCTCCACAAATTTTTCCCGTTCTTCTCAGGCAGAGGGAGTACCTAAATTTACCATTCGGTAACTCGAGCTCGTCCGCTGCACTCTTCATCATCGTCATCGTATCATTATTAGGGGGGAAATCAGGCAAGAACATAGCCTACGGTATTCCACGCAAATTGGAGCGATTCCACTTTTCTCAAAAAAAATCCCCAAAAGGTTACATTGATGATGGCGGCCCGAGCCGGGAATCCGATTCCTAGAGATTAGGTATATTCTCCCCGTCCACAGTAACCCCACCGGGAGAAAAAAAGTAAAGACAGCACAATTCCAGCTCCCTCCGAGAATGCGATGACCAAAATTTTGCCCCTCCATCGTGACCACAGTGATGAGGGCTATTGGGTCCGGCAGTATCGGTGATCCGAGTGGGGTTGAAAGAAAAAGAAAAAAAGAAAGAAAAAAGTTCAGTTGAGCGGATCATCGGATTGGATCTTGATATCTCTAGGTGTTCAGCGAGTTTTGTTTCGTTGATAGTGTGCCGATGCGTTATATACGGCAATTAGAAATTTCTGTAGAGCGAACGACCTGATCAAGTTTTCTTCCGGTCTATCTTACTGAAAAAAGTAGCGGCACGGCACTCTTAGAAGTTGAGCACATAGCGCCCGATATCACCAGCTTGTTTATTTTGTTTATTACCCTACGGTAAACCTTGTAAGAAGCGGTAATGCTTTCATTACCCCGCAGCCCACCGAGACCAATACGATAAATAGGGTCGTCCTCCGCAACGCCCGCACCTCCACCTCAGAATATAGCAATGCCGAGCTCGTAAATTCGAAGTAAAGCTTATGAGCGCATAAGGCCAAACATCATGTAATTTAGAGAGGGCACAATTGGGATATTAAAGTCGCAGATTGCCGCTCCCAAACCAGTCTAAGCGTTGGTGGGATATTTATTATGCCGGCCCACAATTCCAATCATTCTCGAGAGGCTAAGGGCGCGTTAAGCAGGGCCTATAAGTTAATGTTACTCTGCAATCATGCCTCCATGCAGTAATCGATCAGTTGCCTCGTTCTTGTACCGTCTTTCGCCTTGGGATGTCGAGATTGCAGGCTTTTCCACCGATACCGAGACTTCAATTGGAGTTTTTTCCTTTTAGCACGATCCAAAGGACAGGCAGAATATGTAGCCGGTTAGCGTTGTAGTCAAGAAACTGGGGCTAAGCGCTACCTGCCAACACGATTTGTACGATAGCACGGACCACAGACCGCGATGAAATACAAAGTGCCGTCGCACGGGAGAAAATTCTGGCCGGGCCCGGCGATCCTTGCGCTTGTGGGGGACAACTCTTGAAAGCCCTATCGGTCTCCGCGCACACTAGAGCTCGCCCCCCGAGCTGCATAGTAACCGGCTCTGTAACAGTGCCATTGGTTAGCACGATGGTCCCCGAAGGTGTACTCGTACTGTACGCGAAATTTGTTTTGTCCCGCCAGACAAAATTAAAGTGCTGCTGGAGAAGTATCATATCCGGGCGCCAATAAAACCAATGGCGCAGTCGACTGGACATTACTCGCATAGAGATCAATATAAAAAGCCCGAGTCCAGACCAGCCCTATGATTACTGTGGACTAGTTAGCCGATACACCGGAACCCGGTATCTCTTTGCGGCTTGATAAACTCGTGATTTTCCAGAGGGTGGAAGATATGGCAGCACTGTAGTGTTACAATTTCCGCTGCATTGCCCTGCCGGCAGGACAGCGGGTCATGGTATCGAAGCCTTACGAAAGCAATCCTAACGGATAAGTGATGGGAAACACTCTCCCCTGAATGAGTGCGGAACACACGAATTCCCACTGCCAACCTCACCATGATACATCCTCAACAACCCTAATTGTCGATATCTACTGCGGCAAGCTGACGTATCTGATCGGAGGCTGCTCCACATAAGATATACCCATATTGAGCTATTTTTTCCGTTTAAACCCTTTGGTCCCCCGTGCCCTGTAAGGGACCAATCTATCGCAATGCGCACTATCGCATTTGCGCGAAGACGTCAATGTTCATCGTCGTCAAGGAATGCCCCCTCCTAGCCCTTTATATGATGAACCCTGGCAGCTTACCGGTATGATATTACGGTGTCGACCTGCCGGGCTTTGTGTGATATCATACGCATATATATATATATATATCCAAACAGGGACAATCCCTAAGGAGGATAGGCCATCTCGTCAATCTCCCAGACCTCCAGGACAGGGCTCAGGCAGGCCAGCACTCTAGCGCGCTCCAAAGATACCCGAAACCCGGGCTACGGCGCTGGCGCGAGTTCCCACTAATTTCCACCGCAGAGCGTTTGTAATCGGGAATAATAATAATCCAGCGAAAAGTTCCACGGAGGTGCTATATTCGAGTACCTCCGTATGATATGAGAAAAAACTTAGTCGAAGATCTCAACCAATTAACAAACCCCTCCACCAAAATAAGGGAGCGCCGATAGACCTTTTTATGCCAAAAAGGCGAACCCAGAGATAGTACTGTATCAGCTCGTAAAATGAAGTCGGCCGGCGAGAAAGTAACCTATAAGAGGGCGAAGGAAGCGATGCAGTGTCAAACCATGTTTCGGAACACGCACTGGCAAATCCAGCCTCTCATACTCGGGTGCCCGAGTGCGGTGCAAGCATGGCACCCCCGCCCTATGGGGTATGCGCCGCCAGCTCGCTAGAGTGCCGAACCAAACAGCCCCAGGGGATACGCTGCTTTGGTATAATAGGTGGATGGGGAACCGCCTTTGCGTATGCCGAACCCTTCCCCAGCCCAACCTCCGAAATCGTTCAGAAGCCGAAACCCAGGGGTAACCGGACAGGAATAGACTATCCAATATCCCCATTATGCAAGTTAAAGCAATATATCTAACACGGGCGCCAAGCACGCCGTTATAATCTATGATCGGGGCTATGGGAGGTAATCAATCGGTCGGTTCAGTGCTGCGCAATGCCCGAAATCATTAGATTCAGCTCTCAATCCCCCCATTGCTATGCAAACACCATTCCAGGAACACCGGTATTGTCTCCTGCTGTTACATAACTGACGATATGGTGCAGAAAACTGCCCCCGGTCGGTCGATTCGCAGACCCGGAGATTTAGGTTGGGAAACGCATGTTGGGCCAGGGCCCCTGGGCGAAGACTTAAACTGCATGCATGACCGCTGGCGGGTGACGGGGCATCTTTATCCGGTGCCCAATGGATGCTATCGCCGAGCCGCAACGTCAGAGTTCGCCACCAGCAATATCGTTCTTGCAAAACCCCTGCCACAGACGCCGGCCATCTACCCGTTATGGCCTTGGATGGACTTGCTTCTGATGACGAGCTCGGGTCCTTAGGTGTCCCGGTTTCTCGAAACGTGGACTCCTTGCTGGGGTTTATCTATCGTACGATGCCCTACTGTACGGTACTCTCTGTCCGCCAGCTCGCCGGCTTGCCTCATGCATTGCCCCACTTTTTTGGCGCTGCAATATCTTGACGGATGATCACGTCGGCCAAGATGGCCTCCTCGTCCGATCTCCAGCACGGGTGCTCGAGTCCCGTATCCCAACCGAGCACGGCATCATCAGCACATACCGGTAGCTGAGTAAAACGCGGTATCCCGGGTAGAGGTGCCCATGGTTCCCAGGCACCCCTTCAAGGGAATACAAATACCGGGTAAAAAATAACAACGTCGGAGAAGGTCTCTACCTTGAAAGCTCTGGAGCACAGCATCCCGTGTGAGAACTGCCGCCATCGCAATGCGGGGGCCGCGCACCAGATCTGACATGCCGGTATGAATTATCGCGGGATCGTGAGTTGCTCGCTTTCGGGAATTCCCCAGCTCTACCGACAACCAAGCCCCAACGATGCCGTAGCCGTACTTGTGGAGAAAGCTGGCACTTAGGGGGGTGGACCATTAAATGCCTCAGTGGTGGGAATACCGGTATTGTACGATATGCCACATGATCTGGTGATGCTGGAGATGGGCCTAGACTAGCTAAATAAAGTTTGGGTCATTAAGCGATAAGGTTACTGTAAGTATTGATGATAATTTGCCACAGGGTGCCGTGTCTGCCAAAGTTTTCACTTTATCGAGGGGAAAGAGCTTCCCGAAGAAGTTCACCCCCACCTACCCATTCAGCCACGCCCTCCCTATTCGACCGTCCCCGCGCCATCTCCAGCATCACCAGATAATATGGCACTCGTACAGGCACGAACACTTGTATCGGGCCCGGCAAGAAGGCCATGAAAGGGTTACTTGTATCCGAGTCTTACCGGCCGAGCATATCCCTGACTGTTCCGGTTAACGGGTTCCTGCCCTCGTATCATACCCGGGAAGACGTTTTCGCATCACACTGCACCGTACTCACGCATCTTTGCTAAGAATACCTCAGCAGGCCGAATATTTGGTGAGGACCTCAGCAAAATATCGGTTGGCGGAGGTATTCTTGGCAAAGATGCGTGAGTACAGTGCAAGAGAGGGACATTCTGCGGGTCAACCCAAATTAACTGTTCACTAGCCCCCCTGCAGGCGCTTGCACCTACCAGATATGCCGCAAGTCGAGTTGGCTCAAAAGCCTGCCTGAAAAGAACGTGCCCGCCACACCCTTTAGAAAAGCTTTCCCGCCACCCCCTCGTAATAGATTCGGGACTGGGGAGACGCTATGGTGATTACCGGCATTTGGATTCGAATCCCAGCTGGGTGGAGGTTTTTGTCCCATGACACTTTGTCGGGGATGTGACGAGATCGCTTTCTCTCACTTACACAATCGAAGGGAACACGGGAAGCCGAGCACAAGTCAAATTGCCCCCATCATTCTCTCCAGACACAGAGCCCCTCCGGTCCGAAGTTCACACAAGTGCCGCCACCATACGTTAACATGGTGATCCCCCCGGGGCGACTACCGTGCCCTACGGAAGCAAATATTGTGATGCAGAGTTTCCATATCTAATAGAGGGTCTTGTGACCAGCGGCGGAGATGCTAAAATTTTATTCATGGTCTGCAAAATTGGCCCAATCCTTTTGTCATTTGCTGATTCAGGCCGAGTATGGCCGCAGGGCTCGTTGACCTGATCAAATATTACATCGGGGTTCGCAGGGCTAAGACCCTGTCACATGGGCCAGATAGCACAAACTTGATGGAGAAAATGGGCCGATACTGATGGGATTTGAAGAAGCTCAGTGGGAATACATGTACTAGTACTATACTGTACTGTACTCGTACGAGTATCGTACTAGTTCAGTGCTGTGCTCTGCCATTGGATGAACTCGAAAATGCGACGATCCCGCGTAGTCAGCCTACTTGCAGCTCTATTGGACTGGAAGTGGAAAAGCTTATCCAAGTGTGACATCGGGACAGGGCCTCATCTGATCTTTCCGGGAGACATTGAGTGTGCAATGGTACAAAAAGATCTCTTTTACCCCTATGACACCCCCACAGAACCCCTCTTTGCCAAAAAAACAAATAAAAACAAATACCATACAGTATCGGTATGCAGCCTACTTGGAAACTCTCGGCGCTCGAGTATATAACGCCCCTCTTGTAAGGAGAGTCTGCTTCCATTCCTCGCGCCACTCTTCCCCCTCCCAGTGGCCACCTTAGGGAGTCACCTCAGGGAGTTGTCATCTATTCCTTCTCTGCTCCCTGCACCGCGCGGCCGCGCGTCCTCTCCACCTTGACAGCAAATATGCCGAGGCGTTGGTCACTGGGAGTTCTGGAGGATCCTGATACTGAGGAGGTTCCAGGTATGACCCCTTTCTGCTTGCTAGCTGTACCTACTAGCTGACCGGGAGAGTAGGTACCGTTCTTTTACTCTCTTCCACCAGACAGGAACCATTCGGGTTCGAAGCAGTCAAGAGCGAGGATAAGAGAACTCCTGACGGAAAAATCATCTTGAACCCGCAACCAGAAGACCATCCCGACGACCCGCTAAACTGGGCTTCATGGAGACGGGATGCTGCCCTACTATCATTGGGTTGGCATTGTTTAGTCGGTGGTGGACAAACCCCTGTCCTTGCTGCTGGGTGAATTGCCTTGGGAAATGATCGCCTTCCGGTCATCTGACGGCTAATCAAACACCTCCAGATTCAATGACGTCGCCAAAACCTTCGGGGTCACAATACCAGAGGTTGCGTTGACAACCGGTGAGTTACCGCTGATGTCCAACCAACCCTACCCCACCTTGGGGCTGGGGCCTGCATCGGGCTAAACACGCCCCCATGTGCCGATGGTTGGTACGAAGATGGCTGGGTGGCATTGAAACTGATATTTCTTAGGTCTCTACATGATGGGCATGGGCATCGGTTGTTTGATCTCTTCACCAACGGCTATAATCATCGGAAAACGGCCTGTCTATCTTTTCGGAGCAGTGCTGTTTTTGGCCGCCTCGATATGGTGCGCTGCATCCCCCTCTTACGGGTCGCTCGTAGCCGGCCGTATCATTATGGGTATCGGAGTCGCTCCTTGTGAAGCGCTCCCTAGCGCCACAATTGCAGAAATATTCTTTCTTCATGAGAGGGCCTACAGAGTGGGAATATATACCTTGCTCTTGCTCGGGGGCAAAAATTTGGTTCCTCTAGTCAGTGCAGTCATCATCCAGGCCTTGAATTGGAGATGGGTATTCTGGTGAGTTATTGTGGATTGTGATGTGGTTTGTCCAAGGCTAATCCTATTGGAAAGGACTGTCGCGATCATCGTCGGGTTTAACCTGTTCCTGCTATTCGTCTTTGTACCGGAAACTTTTTGGGATAGAACTCCCAGACCAAGCACCCGGCCATCCGCATTGCGCAGGGTTTCGTCTAGCCTCTTCTCTCGCGCTCAATCAAGCTCGAAAAGGAAGCGCTCAAAGTCGAGATCTCGGCGAACTTCACTTGATGCGGGTAAAGCTGCAGGTGAAAATGTAGCTGGTCTCGTGCCTGCAAATGACTCGCCAGCCACTGATGCCGACGCCGTAAAGCCGGCCGGCCCACGCCGGGCGCGTTTCGAACAAGCAGAGTCTGAAAAGCCCAGACCTGAAAACTCGGAGGGCCTACCCACTGCAGGGGAAATATATCGACTAAATACCGAAAAGTCGTCGCGCGTATCCTTAGACAAATATGTACGAAATGCAAGGCTCTCGCACCCCACGGAAAACGAAGCAACCGATGAACCGACAGAGCCCGCTCAACCCGCTATACCCACTCACCCAAAGCCTTTCATCCAAAGCTTGAAGGTTTACAATGGTGTCCTTCGACACGAATCCTGGATCAAGGCGGCGGTTAGGCCAATAATTCTGTTCTCTTATCCAGCAATTCTCTGGTCCACTGTGGTTTATTCCTTTTCGGTTGGTTGGCTTATTGTGCTCTCCGAAACGGTGGCGCATATCTACCAAGAACACCCTTATGACTTCTCCCGCCTAGCCACCGGATTGGTTTACATTTCCCCCTTTATTGGCGGAATAATTGGCACCGCGGTGGCCGGAAAGGTATCCGATATTGTTGTGAGAGCGATGAGTAGAAGGAACGGTGGAGTTTACGAGCCCGAGTTCAGATTGGTGATGGGGATTCCAGTCGCAATTACAACGGCTATTGGGTTAATGGGGTATGTTCACCCCGGCTTTTTAGTCTCGGATACTACTCACGATGTACTAGTTTTGGATGGTCCGCGCAAGAGCGCGACAACTGGATTGTCCCTACCGTATTTTTTGGCTTGATCTCATTTGGGTGTTCTCTCGGGAGCACTACAGCCATCACCTTTTGCGTTGATTCCTACAGGCAGTACGCCAGTGAAGCTTTGGTCACTCTCAATTTCTCCAAGAGTATATATCCTCCGCCCCTAGGAACAGAGTACCGGTAATGTATGCTAACAGTGCCACTTGCAGACGTATTCCATGGATTGGTGTTTTCCTTGTTCTTCAATAGATGGCTAGAGAAAGACGGCAGTAAGACGGTTTTTGTTGCACTGGGCGCATTACAGATTGGTGCATTACTATTCACGATTCCGCTGTACATTTACGGGAAGCGTTTACGCCTTTGGACCCACAGGAGAGTTTTGATGCAAGCATGGACCTGATCGTCTGTTGGGGCGTTCAGGCTGCTGCTTTGAAGGAGTACACATTTTGATGAGGGGGTTTTTATTTTTTAGGCGCAGGTTAGGTAGCAGTGGGGGGGCCTGGGATAGCACATTTTTGTTCTGTTTACACCATGTGGTTGTTTTGCCTTTTCTCCTTTTTTTCCTTCCCCCTTTTCCTATTTTATACTTTCATCAGCTTGTTGTTCAAGGGATTGGCGATGGTTTATGACGTGCGGGATGAGAAATTTGCGAATTATACTTAAGCATATAATTCTTGTGCCGGAAGGAGTGCTCTGAATCTCTCGGGTTAGCATGTCGACAGTATGATAGGGGTCTGCGGGAGGACACCAAGTTGGCCGGAAGCACACTGCACAGCCCGACATCAATGTGCAATTGTGTAGGCGCTCACCACCAGCCATATCGACCACGCCTCTTTTTATACAAACAAAGGCTCCCAGAGTGATAACCCATGACCCTGGCGACAGTATGATGCCCCCAGAGAAAAGCCTTTTTACTTTTCCGAAACAGGGAACTCGCCTGGTATCTGGGCGTCGGTACGGGGGATTCGGTGAGTTCGTTAAAATCAGGGTGCCCCCCCCCCCCTTTTTTTTTTCGCCGTGCATTGAGGGTGTGATTGGACAGACAGGCCTGGATCATGCATGCGTGATAGAGCTGGGGAGAGGAGGGCGTTTTGGCATTTGCGCTCCGGTGCTTACCTTGGCCTGGCAGGTGTGTATGGTAGGTTAGAGAGAGTACTGTACATTACAGTTTGAAAAATTCCTATAGACTTCTAGGTACGGGATCACCCCTAAGTCAGGATAACACGCCAAACGGCTCGGCGTGTGCATCGGGGTAGCGATTTAAGCGGCATCTTACTCACCGCGTAGCGCTTCGGCACTAGGAATTGTGGTGAACCCCCCCTCGCGATCTCTCTATGATGGCGGGCTAGACTCTGGAGGCCCGAATATATAGCTGGTGATGCCGGCTGAGAACGAAATCGATATCGTTGCACCGGCGGAACGGGTCCACGTGAGCGTAGGGTAAACCGACTCCATAGGAGATTTTGGTTCGGCTCTTGATACAGGTGCAACCGGCATCAGGTAGACTAGACTATCGTTTATTTGTTTTGTTTCCCTCTCACCCCATGCCTCCGCCGTTTTATGATTGGTTTGAGGCATCATGAGAAATCCGGGTAGCTCCAGATTGTTGGAGGACGACGGAGGATCGTGATCCGTCGGGATGGTGCACTCCTTCAGAGCTCGTGAACCTTTTCTTTCTTTCTGGTTTTCGGGGTCGTTTTTCTAGATGGAGATACATATAGCCCCCGGGTTTTTCCTTAGCTAGCATCTCTAGCGGTCTTCTAATCCACCCCACGCTCAGCCGTCTTCTGCCCATAGTGTCCACGCTCTCACTGCTTCATCCGCTAGCCCCTTCTATAGGTTTCGTCAACCTCGGGGGGTATTTTCTTTTTTTTTTCCCCTGGGGATTGGGTACGTGTTTACATGCGGATATCACCCAATGCGATAAGGCACTTCTTTCCTTTCTAACCCGAGCGGACGTGCCAAAGCCAAAGGTTGGTATGGCATACTTGTAATACGCGAGTGTTGTAAGGCATGCTAGTACCGTAATACCAAATCCTCAAAGCATAACATTTGCGCCCAATCCCACCGTACTGGTAAGTATCCCTAACAGCCCGGTTCCAAGTAAGGACCACCAACCAACTCGGGTAATATTCGAGTGATACACAAGCATCAGGCAGCTCGCGTAACATTAGGGTCCTGCACTGTACGAGTACAGTACAGTACTCGTACCGTGCGGTTCGGGATCAGACACAAAGCTTTTCCCAACGCCCACTTATTATAGTTTTAAGTTACCCAGCAGCCCACTTCTTCACCTGCGGGCACCGTCCCTCATTAACGGCCAACCAGCCAACTCTAATACTCGTACTGCGCATAATGCATCATACATACAGTACATACATAACCTCAAGGCACAACCAACCCAGCACTGCACTGCACAACCCCCCCCTCCCTCCGAAAACAGCAATCCCTCCAGACCCTTTCCTGTACTCCTGGCGAGGTTAAACTCTTCCGTATGGGGCTGCGCTGTACTGTACGTAGCACACTAGCCGCTGGCAGCGCTCACTTAGACTGCCTACTCTGCACGGACGAGTACGCACTCGCATCCCGTGATCCGTGCCACGTTAGGTCAATTCCAAAGTGTGGTTTTCGAGTGTTTTCTTTTTTCGAGGTATCGTATCATATCATAGGAGGTATTGCACCGGTAGTAGGGCAGGGCAATAGACTACTTCACGCACGAAAATTCAACGGAGATTGAATACGGGATGGGTTGGGGTTTCGGGAGCTTTCACGTGACTCGGGCGTGGTGGTGTGCCTGGTGCACATGTGAAGGAAAAACCGGTAAATGCGGTGTGACAAGGGAGGGCCGTTGCGCGTCAGGATAGTCTAGCGGAAGGGTATCGTAGGGAATCCTCGCACATATCATACGAGTACGGTGCGTGTGCGAGCTTGGCGGCGGAGGAAATGAACACCCCCCAGGTTTCCATACAAAACACACAAGTTTGACCAACTGCTGCAAAGGCAGCAAAGTAGTTGGATTGAAGGGAATAGCAAAGGGATCTGACATATGGGTTTTCCAACTTTTTTTCTGTTCTGCTCAACACAGGCAGCAGGTCAGTGGGGAAATGAAGCCAGCCGGCATAGTTGCAATCTGGAAATCCCATACAAATTGCCTGTCTTGGCATTGTTTTGGCAGTAGACATCGAGAACTCTGGAGCTTGAAATCCTTACAGCAGCTTCTGTAACACACCAGTGGCGTGAAGAAAATTGTGGGACAACGGTATTCCCCACCAAAAAACTGCGTATTCGGAATAATCATCAACTCCTCCAAAATATTTAAAATACAAACCACTACATAGCTAGCTTTAAATATCATAGAGCATTACCTACAGAGGTTTTAGAAAGTTCCCGTCAAATGATTCCCCATCCATAAGTGTTGGATTCCAAATTACCTCCTGCAGCACTGCCAGACAGGGATTATTTGGTGTAGAAACTAGTATATTTTCAGGTTCCAGACCTACTCAACTTAACTAGTGAAGTAGAAATAATATCTATGTTCCCAAAAGGTAGAGAAGTAAAGTGGAGAAGCAATAGGATGAGTGTATGAAATTATTTTTGCCCTAATGCCAAAATCTATGTTGATATTGATGTGCGAAAACTCAGTATTTGGGTGCAAAACATGTGTTGTCCCACAATTTTCTTCACACGACTGACACTATTGAGGATTGGCATTTTATATGGGAAACCGGTAGGTGTTCATTTCTTTTGTCGGCAAGATCGTACAATACAATACTCGAGTATGATAGATATCAACAAGGAGTCTTGGCTGGGATGAAGATGATTTTATGCCTTGGCCCTGTCTCTTTCTCCGCCCCATCTCTCCATTTTTCCCATTTTTCTTGGGGGGGGGGGGGGGTCACCGTTGCGAGGAAATTTCGATTCCAGCGGATAGATGGGGACCCGTCTGACGGGCAACCTCCGGGAGCCGCATGGATGATGCTCGGTGATACGATACTATAACTGAAGCTACTATCTTTACACAACGTCGTGAATCTTTAATACCGGTGCTTTGGGGGCCGTCGAGGATTAATTGTCGTATCCCGAGCGCTGTGGGGAAAGGTGGGATCATGGATACCGAGATAGAAGCAGCATCAAGTGTGGCACGGTGTCGCTACGATGTCAGTAAACAAACATCGCACTGGACAGTCGTGCGCTACCGCTATCATATTTGGTGGCTTTGGCTTTTCCCGTTCCGTTCGTTGACCTGCGAGTGATCAGCCGAGCAGGCGCGCGGTCTGTTAGGGGAGTGATAGATTGTACGTGTACTTGTGCGAGTAAAGTGCATGGCACGGTATTCGGGCAACGTGGACCTGGCGCCCTCAAGTTGCTCCCCTCGAGAACCACCCGGCAGCGCGAGAACCTCATCACGATGATTCGCCCCGCGGCTACCGTGATATATATGTATATATATTTATAACATATCCTACGGTAGGCTGACCGACTGGCTGACTTGTCACCATCCTATCAATAGGGCGGATTACGTGGGAAGCTTAAAAATGCTGGCGAATAGAATTGGCGAGTGAGGCCCGTTGGACTGCCCCTCTTCTCCTCCTTGGGTGGGGGTTGTCGTCGGGGCGGTCGGGTCAACCTTACCGTATCCGTTTCACGGGGTCGCCTCAATGCCTTGCGGGTCCCGGAAGGCAGAGAGCGGGCAGACAGAGAGATACTTGTACCGTGGTGGTGGTAGACGGGGGGGGGGGAGGGCGTTGCCTATCAGCTGTTGGTGATATCGAGAGCTCGTGTTTGTCTCGAGCCTGTGTTGTGGTACGGGGGTGTGCTGAACCTTACAGGACTTGTGGGACAGGACGGGATTGGTTCGGTGGGAGGGACATCTACAATACAGTGCGTGGTGTTTCGTTGCCATTGTGCGAATGGTCTACTCGAGTACCGTACTGTACCGGTGGGGGAGAGGATCTGGACCATTCCTGCCCAGGAATATTTTCTGGGGAAAGGTCCAGGGTGGTGGCCCCCGCTGGGGGCGCCAGGCCAACTGGAGAGTGTGTTTTGTCACCGTGTCACCCTTTGGCGCTGTACTGTACTGTACCCTCACATAAATTTATCCCTAGTTCTCTCGTCCGTCGACCGAATGGAACAGGAATGAAGGGGTTCGATCGTTAACTTACTTGTACGGTACAAATAGTGCTTACCGGAGAATTGTGCAGATTGCAGGCACCCACAGCTTACGGGGGAATACCGATAGGTAAGTCACTTCCACCATACCAGTACTACCGGTACTACTCGAGCGGGGGGAGAGAGAGGGAGGGAGAGGGGAGTGAAAAAACGTTTTCATGGTTCCCGTTCCTTGCCTCAGCCGCATGCATGAAATGATATGAAAATTTAATATTATGATAGTGCGATATACAGGTACTGCACACCTTTAGTTCATCCGCCACCGCGTCAGCCTTCTCCTCCTTCATCTCATTCATTTGCGCCATCTTCTCCTTCTTTTACTCCCGCTTCTCCTTCCCCCTTCGTCGCTGGTATCATACCTCTGATTCTTCACTCCGCACCTCTCCTCTTGCCTTTCAAACATTCCATCATGGCAGCCGAAGCGATGGCGAACTTGACCCTGCGGTCCAATTCTCTGAATAGCATTCGTACGCCCACTTCCAGCTCTTCCAGCACTGCGAGCACTGGAAAGGATAGGTTGGTTATCGGCGTTGACTTTGGCACAACTTATAGTGGGTATGTGTAGAATGCGTCCGGGGCGCACGGAAGACTCATTCAACCCAACCTTAAACTAACACGCGTCTGCAACAGCGTCGCAGCCGTCTACAGTGGGACCCCGGATGACATAGAAGTGTATGTTCCCGCCCCGCCCTCCTCCTCCTCCTCCTCCTCCTCCTCCTCCGCTTCGTCGTCCCCTTCGACCGGCCAACAGACCAAAAGGCAAACAAACACACAAGGCTGACCATTCCGAAAAACATCCAGAATCAAAACATGGCCCGGAGGCAACGGGATAACCTCCGACAAAGTCCCCACCGAGCTCTCCTACGTCCCTCTCCCCACACGAACCCCGTCGGATGCGGGTATGCCGCAACCCCCCGCACCGCCCGCGAGCGGAAGCAGCGACCCGGTGACGCACAAGTGGGGATTCCAGCCCTCGGCGAATAGCCCACGGCTGCGTTGTCTGAAGCTGTTCCTGGACCGCTCGCACCCGCTCCCGCCCTACATCTCGCCGTTGGAGACGGCGGGGATGCTGAGGGGTGTGGGGAAGACCATCATGGATGCCGTGACGGATTATCTGAGTGCGCTGCACTCGCACACTATCGAAACTCTGACGCGTAGGTACGGGGAGAGCTTTATGGCTAGTACGCCCTTGGAATGGGTGTTGACGGTCCCTGCGTAAGTTTTTGTCCGTGACTCTAGGGTTTGGGAATGGCGAGAGCGGTTTCTGATGCTGGGGGATTGTTTCCTTCTGATATAGGGTTTGGAGCGATGCTGCGAAGTATGCTACGCGAAAGGCCGCGGAGGGTGCGGGTATGGGTGGGGTGGATGGAAAGGGGATCAGGCTTATTAGTGAGCCGGAGGCTGCGGCCGTATACACGCTCAAGGCTATCCAGCCGAATAACTTGAGTGTTGGAGATAACTTTGTTGTTTGTGATGCTGGCGGCGGGACCGTGGTATGTTTTCTCCCTCCCCCCCCTTTCACCTCGAGCATTTCTGAAGTGGACAGGACTTGATATCGTATGAGATAACTTCGGTTTCCCCGTCGCTGCTGCTTTCGGAATCTTCGATTGGAACCGGCGGGCTGTGCGGAAGTGCATTTTTGAATTACGCTTTTGAGGATCATTGTCGGAGGAGGTTGGGAGCTGAGATTTATGACCGGTTGAAGCCCAAGACGCGGAACATGGCGCTGAAGTACTGGGACGAATACGTCAAACGGAACTTCAAAGTTGAGGAACCGGAAGAGGAGGAAGAGATTTCCGTCCCGCTCCCCGGAGTAGCAGACGATGAAGAGAAGCGCATTGAAGGTGGATTCCTTATGATGAGGAGGGAGGAAGTCAAAGCGATATTCGAACCTGTGGTGAGCCAAGTGATAAAACTCGTGGACGAGCAAGTCGAGGGAATCCGAAAGATGGGCGGGAAGGTAGCGGTAGGCACCCTCCCTCCCCCGTCGAGCTGTACAGGACGTGGCGTGTGAAGCTGAACGGATTTAGGGAATTGTGTTGGTGGGAGGTTTCGGACAGAGCAATTACCTTTACAGCTGCCTAAAAACCCGGTTCAACCCCTCCACCCGGAATCCCCCACCATACTCCGAGACTCCTATTTTAGGTGATGGCGGAATCGAGGTTATGCAGCCGTTATATGCGTCAGTAGATCCGTTCCTGCCCATTGATCACACATGCTGACGGTCGGGCAGTTGGACGGCAGTGGTCCGTGGGGCGGTGATCCGCGGATTGGAAGGGTCCATGGTTGTCGCCCGACAGGCCCGTTATCACTACGGGACTTCGTATGCTACCGTTTGGGAGGAATCGAAGCATCCTGTTCAGGACCGTTACTGGTCACCGCTGTGGGAACGGTGGATGGTGTCGGATCGTATGCAATGGCGTATGTTTTTTCCTCCAGCTCAGCTCGCTCAGGGTTCCTCTCCTGCAGAGGCCTAACAATTCCCCTAGACATCGCCCGAGGAGAGCCCGTGTCCGATAAAACGCCCATATCCTTCCACTACACCCGAAATTTCCGACCGGGGCAAAGCCTCAGGATCGAGGACGACCTTATCAGTTGCGAGCGCGAGACGGCGCCGGCAAGCATGGCGGATGCGAACAGACACCTTGTGAAAACGGTCTGCACGCTAACAACTGACTTGTCGAGTGTGCCAAAATGTGAGCCTCTAAAGACCCCTCCTACCCTTCGTCCCTCTGCCACACTTTCTACTCCCCTTCCAATCCCACCCCGAGCATGTCCCTATCCCATATCTCCCCGACCAGGTCAATCCGGACAATTAACGTGCTTACTCCACAATAGCAAAGTTCAACCGCTTGACAACAAGTAAGGGCATCGAGTTCGATAACCTAGACTTCACACTGGACCTGATCGTGGACTCAGCAAGTCTCGTGTTCGAGCTGAAAGTGGAGGGTGTAGCATACGGGAGCGTGACGGCAAATTTTCACTGATTGATTGATTCCACTTTATTTTTATTTTTTATACCATTGTTGCCCTGATGTTGTACCGACCTACAAACCCCCCCACCTTGGTCAAAGAATATATTATTCGTAAAGTAGCGGGAGTTGTTTTTGTTTTTGGGATTTTATCTTGTGGATTTCGTTTTATGTTCTTGGGGAGCTCTGATATTGTATGGCGGCACGGTATGCTTATGAATTGAACTTCCTTCCTTCCTTCCTCCCTCCCGAAGGGGACATCGTGGGGGAAGGACATAAAGGCCTTTGAAAGTAGGCTAGCACATACCGACACTGTAAGTCGATTCATGGTTGAAAGGGAGTGAGGTGCTGTTGACCATGCGGTTCTTCCGGAGGGGGGGTCCATCTCTTTGGACGAGGGAAAGGTCGGTGGTGGGTCGGTGCCCCACTGCACGAGCTTTTGGGCGGGAAAGGATTTATGGTGGGATGCAGGAACTTCCATGTGTATTGGTATTGTGAATTCACCATAGTATCCGGCCAAGTCCACCGCTCCATCGATCGGGGCTACAATACTACAGTTCCGTACTGTATTTCCCTTTCAGCTACCCGGGGCTACCGGCAGTATAGGGAGGAAGGAAGGTTGTGGGAGATTGGCCAGCGCTGTAACAATTGCCGGAATGAATATTCGGAGCAAATGCACGGCATGAAGGAGCACCGTACGACGCAGTACAGTAGAACTCTCCGGGAAGAAGCATTCTCCGGGGAGCATGCAGCCCTACTGTCTCGTGCCGGAGTCTGTGGCCGGGGTTTTGTTACCGTATTGAGCTCCTACTTTTCGCCTTCCTCTAGATAGGGCGGTGGTTGTGCTGGTGTAGTGTGATACGGTACTCGTAGAGTAACGACGACAGGGAGACTACCGTGTTTTGCAAACCTGCCTGGAGCACGAGCACTACCGTACGGTATGGCGCTTTACGAGCACATGTGCGAGCCAAAGCACCCTAACCGCCGTCTATAAGAGTAGACCGGAATGGGGAACACTGTGTTCGCCCGCTGAACGTTACCATCGCACTCCCTCGTGCGATAGGAATTCACGTAGGTGCTTGCCTGAAGTACTCATTCATTATACCATCCATTCGTCTTTCACCCTCTCTATTCCGCTCCATTTGCAATACAATATCGGTCTGCGGGTAACTTAGCCTGCAAACAAGCGAGGCTATCCCGTCGGTCCCTGTTGTCGTGCCATCGCGGGGCAAAGGAACGGCATCTCCCACGCTCAAGCCAAACGATATCATAGGCAGGTGTAGGGGCCCATGCGGCTGACCCCTGTCTGCTGCCTGCTTTTCCACCCTCGCTCGCTTCCGCAACGACCAACCCTACCTGAACCCTCAACGGACTAAAACAGATTCCTTACAGTCCCCCCCCCCCACCCCCGTGCCACATTACAATGGAGAATGAAGGAAAGATGAAAGTACGGAAACAGAAACGTGAGAGGAAGGAGAGAGAAAAGGAGAGGGAGAAGGTGGAGGAGATGGAGGTAGAGGGGGGGAGTGAGCATAGTGGGTGGCTTTTTTTTTTCTCTTGTCTGATTTCGGGATTTGGTGAGGGAAGGAGGAGGCTAACAAGCGGATTTGGGGTGGGGTGGTTAGGTAGTGATGCGGACAAGGAGAAGGATATGGGAGGTGGAGGAGAGGACGACGACGAGAGAGAAGGCGGCAAGGAGTCTAAAGAGAAGGAGAGGGAGAAGGAGAAGGAGAAGGAGAGGGATAGGGAGAAAGAGGAATCGGTATCTGCCGCTGCCGCTCCCGCCACTCCCCCTACATCTACCCTCGTATGATACCACCACTTCCCCACCACATTTCACCCTCCCTTCCACCCTACTTCATATCGAATTTTACGGAACGATGGAACGGGACAGATTGGCTGACAAGCTGCCCATGGCATACACCGGTGACAAGACAAGGGACAAAAAGCCCCCCTCTCGCAGCAAGGCTCGTATAAAGGACTTGGAGTCTCTCGTCACGTCGTTGAGAGAGCAGCGTCGAGAAATGATGGAAGACATAGAACTGTCTCTCTCCCTCTCCCCTCCCCCCAGCTCTACCGCCTCTTCGCTCATTCCCGTATCTAACCACACCTCTGAATCCCACCACTATAGGTACAAACTCGATGTCGCCGGTTTCAAGAAGGACATTGCCCGCCGTGATTCCCTTTTAGCGGAACGAGCACACGCGCTAAAGTCGTTCCCGGAGGAGATTGAAGCGCTACGGGCTTCGCACTCACGACTGCTGGTAGATGTTAGCCGTTGCAGGACGGAGGCTAATGGTATTGTTGCCGAGAGGGATAGGGAGATACAGAGGTTGGAGAAGGTGGTTGGGGGACTGAAACATAGTATCTCCACAAACACGAGGATTGAGGAGGCTGTCGGCGATGAGGTGTTCCGGGAGATGTGGAGTCGGATTGGGTGGGAGGCTATGAATTGGTGTTTGGCGAATGGGGCGGCTAAGGGGGGAGTCATTAGTTTGTCCTCCCTTGGGTATATGTGTTGGGGAAGGGGGGTGAGGGTGGCTGACAAGGGTAGATGTCGAAAGCTTGAGGGACGACGTCAAAGAAGAACTACGGGCCGGCATTCCAGAGTACGAAAAGTTGATACTCGGTGGCCATAGAGTTCATGTTGTGCAGGCACTTCTGGCTAGGCTACTAATCCGGGAGATATTCTCAGATTGGTGCTTTGGCATAACTAAGGAACAAAGCTCCGTACTTTTCGCTCTAGAAAAGGAATTCGTTAGAGACTGTACTCCCTCCCCCCCCCCCTTCCCATTCACCATTACTAACTATTAACAGCCCCCCAACCGGCAATAAACACCTGGCGTTCCAGTACTTCAATCCTCCTCCGCACTTCCCTTCTAACACCCCCCACGACAACCCTCACCAGCAGAATAACCTCCATAACGTCCACCATATTCTCCGCCATAACCCCCTTCTTCCCCGCCCCCCCGCCCCAAACCTCAAAGACCCTTCCAGGAATAGTAGAACAAATGATTCGCTTATCACTACACATGCAAACCCAGCGAGCGCAGTTCCACATTTTCCCCCCATTATCGCCGCCCCCCGCTGCCGCTGCGCAAGATCAGGACGGTGAGGGCGAGCTGGGCGTGGAGGGAGAGATGATCTGGAACAACGAGGACATGGAGGAACTTAGCGGCGAGGACGAGACGGAGTTGGAAGGCGCGAAGGTACTCGTGGTGGCCTGGCCGGGAATAGAGAAATGGGGGGATGAAATGGGCGAGTCCTGTCATATCAGGAATTGTGTGGTTAGGGCTAGGGTCGTTTGCGATGCGGATTAGTGCGATATGATGCGGTATCATAGGTGGGGTGCGAGTTGCGGCAGTCGTTCGTCATGCTATCATGATATATCACTCGTGTTTCGCAAAAGAAATGGAGGGAAGGTGTTGGTGTCGGTTCCCCCCTTATTTTCCTTGTTTTCCTTGTTTTCCTTCTCCTTATCCGATTTCGGCTCGGTTGAGGGTGGGGAGAGCGGCGGTGTTGGAGTGCGCTTCTTCTTTCTTTTTCTTCCTTAAATTGGGGGATGCTGGGTTACAGAATTCTCTCATAGAGATTGGAATAAATATGTCAGATCGGGATCGGCGTAGGCTGGTGTTTTGGGCGCTGCGATATTATATCCGGAGGGACCGTTGCGCGACACGATAGGACACCGTTGGAATGACAATGACGGATCGTATCGAATAGTTCGCGGTTAGTGCTAATGTTCGTCAGCGAGGACTTGACTGCTATAGAAACTGTATTCTGGATAATACTTTTCTTCGTCGGTAACGGTATTTTCATAGCTTGCGGTGGCATTGTGTAGTGAGGAAATTATTCTGTTTTAGAGGTTCTAGGCCCCCGCCGTAAACTCTCCCTATCCCGCGAGGAACCGGCTAGAACGAGCGTCTTGCCGGACCATATCCACTCACCGCTCGGCGCATGACATAAGAAATGGTCAGTAGAAGCAAGTATGACGCGATTTTTTTTAATTGTATTTTTTAGGGTGATAATTTGTGACTTGGCCCCATGATAGATAGAAGAAAGAACTTTATTTTTATTTTTAATTATGTATACAGCATAGCAGAAATATAATACAGAAGTTATATTATCTCGATTAGGGTCTAGAAAGTAATCGGAATTTTCCACAACCTACCCGTAAGTTATGAATCTGGTGAAATACGGTACCCGAAGAATCAGAATCAGAATCATCGGCCAAGTCCTGACCACTACTTGTACAACAACGCTCTAATCCCCCCCCCCGGGTGCCATATATCATGCCATGTTCGTATGACTTTCAACTCGCTGTTCCAATAGTACGCATCTCCCGCTCTGAAATTTGGTCCGCATCGTACCACATTTTGTATCAGACTTCAATTGGGGTAATATGACTTGAATATTATTTTCTACCATGTGTATGATACTGTACTGTACATAATGTAATGAAAATTTCCCTTCCTTCCTTCTATACTATGACACCATGGAGCTAAGTCAAGAACTATCGCCCTATATAAAAAAACCCCCCAAAAGTCGCGTCGCATTTACTTCTATTGGCTATTAATTGCAATCATTGACTCCACCCCCCTCTACATAAAGGAATTTTGTTAAACAGTCACTATACCAATGAACCGGATGGAAAAGGAAAAGGGGAGAAAAAAAAAAAAAAAAAGAGAGGGGAAGGTGAAGGGGAAGGAAAAGGGGAGTCATGCCAAAAATCATATACAAGAATGGGCGAATAGATAAAAAAAAGGGGAAGAAAATAAGAAAATAAGAAAATAGAAAATAAAAATGGATAAATAACGGATCGCGAGACCTTGTTCTTGTCAAATTCGGATCTGGGATCCACCGTTCTCGGGGGAGGGGGGGAGCTCGATATGCTAAATACTTCCTAACCCACATTACAGAACCTGGATCATATATTATGATACTGCCCCCAATCTTCACTCACCCAACCAACCAACCAATGGGTCAATCAAGCGAAATGACCATCAGAATACTTGTAAAACCCATCATCATCCCAACTCCCGGCTTCGCCGTTCTGCTCCTCGTCCCCATCCAATTTGGGTTCCTCATCCAGGTCGGGCTCGTCATGGTCAGAGTCTTCATCCCTACCCTCGCTCTCAGCCTTAACGCCACCCTCACCCTCCCCGTCATGAGAATCACTCGTGCGGTTCCCAACGGCGGTGACGGGGTCACTGCCCGGCGGGATCCCCGTATCGATAGAATACTCCCTCTGAATCGTGTCCATCTCCTTGTATTCCCCTTCCACCCCCTCAGCTTCTTCGAGCCACCACTCCCAATTGCGCAACTCTTCCTGCGTGAAGCCATCCACGGTGGGCACGGAAGGCCCCTTCTCGAGGAGTTCCTCCTGCACGCGGTCGAGTACGGCTTGCCGCGTTTCGTCCCAGACGGAGGAGATGGGTGTGCGGTAGTACTTCTTGCACCCCTTGCTCTTCTTGCGCTTGATCTTGCACTTGAGGGCATAGCGTACTTCCCTGTCCAATTCTGTGACGGTCTGGACTCCCTCCATTTTCAGTTCGTGCATGACGACGTCACACAAGCGGTGCTTGCCCGTTTTGATCTGCCAGCGGAATTTGCCCTTGCGAATGTTCAAGTTGCACATTGCCACGTAGCGCTCCAGCCAGTCCGATAGACGCGTCTTGAATTGGTTCGGGCAGTTTGTGTGCGTGTAGGTGTGCTGTGCCCTCGAGCGCATGAGCCCTGTGTCGTGCCAGATTTGGCTCGTCTCAGCGCCAAGGTCGCCGCAGTAGCAGGGGAGCGCCTTGACTGAGGCGGAGGGGTCGACGTCATTTCCTATCCAGTAGTCTTTTATCTGGGTGTTCCAATTTTTGGGGGTGAGGCACACCGGCACCGTGAAGACGCCGGGGTCGGAGGGGCTGAGGGCGGAGTTGGCACTCGGGTCAGAGTTGATAAAATCCGCGTTATCGTCGCCGAGCTGGGCGTTTCCTATTCCATACATCTTAGAGAAGAAGGAGGAGGTTATAATGTCTTGTACGCTCATCTCCCAGGGGTGCTCCGATATCTTGTCTAGGCCGAAGGGCTCCTCGTTGTGATGGCCAATGATCAAAGGACGGTCGTTCCAGCGGTAGATGTAGCAGGCTACGTTCCCGATACAGGCCTTTAGATTTTGGGGCCCCGAGTTATCCAGTTCGCATTTCCCAACCTGGGTTCCAGGGGAGTTTTTGGCTTTGAAGTGGAGTAAGTCCTGGGTGCAGGACACATAGATCTTCTGAGACTTGAGGGCGGCGTTTATAGCTCTCGAGTTGACAGTCTTGGTTATCAATCTATAGGACCGTTAGTAGTTTGTAAAGCGGATGAGAGGGAAAGGGAGGGAGGAGGGCATGAACTCGCTTTTCAACTTCGGCACTGGTCCACATCGACATTGACCCGTCGCCTACGGGAAGTAGACTTCCCGCAGCCATCAGGTCAGCAATATCACTATCGCCTATATAAAAATTAGCACAATTACCGAGTGATACATGATGACCGCAAATACCATTCGAACCAAGATCAGGTGGACCGAAAACCCTATTAGCCGTCTCCTTCAGCCCCTTGCGGGCGAACGCCGAAGACTGTTGGATCACATAACGCAAGCTCATTTCGTTCTGTTCCTTGCTGGCATCATTCGCCTGCCATGAGGAAAACGTCATTTTGACCATGGTATCGACACTAGCAGCTTTCCAGGCCGGGTAGAACTTGCGCAACATTCCCTCAGTCCTGATGAGTTTCTCTTGCCAGCTCAGCCTTCTCCTTCTGCTTTCTTCGGATTCAAAGTCTGTGTCGAGGACGGGATGGAGGAGGGCCGTTATGTCCAACTTAAAGTCATTGAAGGCGGTGCCGGTATCTCTGTAGTAGGGGACTTTTTCAACTGGCCCCAGAGGTTTTATCCTAGGCTCGGAGTCCTGACCTATTTGCGATTTTCCCTCTTGCACTTCTTGCACTTCCTGCACTTCCTGCACTTCCTGCACTTCTTGCGCTTCTTGGACTTCTTGTACTTCTTTGCCTTCTTTGCCTTCTTTGCCTTCTTTGCCTTCTTTGCCTTCTTTGCCTTCTTTGCCTTCTTTGACTTCTTTGACTTCTTTGACTTCTTTGACTTCTTTGACTTCTTTGGCTTCTTTGGATTCTTTGGCTTCTTTGGCTTCTTTGGCTTCTTTGGCTTCTTTGGCTTCTTTGGCTTCTTTGACTTCTTTGACTTCTTTGACTTCTTTGACTTCTTTGACTTCCGCCGCTTCCCCCTCTTCCTCCTCTTCCTCCTCTTCCCATATTGTTTCTCTCCACTTTCTTTCGTTCTCTGCCTGTAATATTTCCCACCCGCTTAGGTCCTTGTCTCTTTCCCTTTCTTTCCCTTTCTTTATTCTCTTCTCTCTTATTTCTTTCGCTTTCTTTATTTCCTCCTCTCCTATTTTTTTCCATTCTATTAGTTTCCTTTCTATTCCTTTCCTTTCTTCTATTTTCTTCCTATCTTCCTCTATTTTCTCTTTTTCCTCTTTTTCCTTTAATTCATCTCTCCGTTTCCCCTCCCGGTCCGTCTTCCCATCCCATAGTTTCCACTTTTTCCTCCATCCTTGCCACCATTTCAACGCATCTGCACGGTTCCTAGAATCTCTCTCTTCCGCGTATTCTTTGTAACTGAACGGACGGATGGGGATAATTGGTCTTGCCGGCGCGTCCGAGGGGCCTCCCTTGTTCGCTTCGGGGGTCAGCTGGTCGGGGTCCTTCTGGACTACGTTTGGAGCATCGATAAGGGCCGGGCCCGTTTCATCGTCACAAGATCCGGTGCTAGTGACCCCGCCGATCATAGGGGGCTGCTGCGAGGCGCGTTTAATCCAGCTCGGATATCTAGCCATGCGCGACCGGGCGGAGGACACGTCTTTGAAACAGCTCCACATAAACCCCCAACTACTGGCGTCTGCAGTGTTCATATTAGTTGAGCTATTTGAGGGAATGTCCCGCTCTTCTGGGGGCGGGAAAGGAAGGCTAAGGCTTACCAAAGGCCTTCTTGAAAAACCCAAATGCCCAGGAGTGCTTTTTGCTCTTGGGATTCTTCCGGGGGGGCCGTGGCATTTCGATCTTCGGAATCTGCGGGGGAGCCTGTGTCTCTTTGATATTTGAGTTCACCGTCCCGTCCAACCCGAAACGATAATGATCGGGAACACCAATCTCGAGCGGTTTAACACTCATCATCTCAATCCACAACCGATCCTTCTTCTGCCTCTCCCACTTTCTGTATTCCTTCATAGTCCCTGAAAGGCCGCGTGGCCAGGAGAACCAACCCCCCTTGTGCTCTTGTGGATCGGGCTCCTGCTCGGCCACCCTGTCCTGTGGCGTCTCGGCAAGATGCCGTACAATCTGCCAAAGACGGTCAGGCACAATCGGCTTGGAGCCGTCGGTATAGTATAAAACGTCAGCGGGGCTAATGCCATGTTCCACGAAGACCTCTCTCAAGCCTTCCTCCGCGAAGATTTCAGAAACTTTCTTCGCGTTGGCGGCTGCGTGCTCTCCTGAGCTATAGTACCCGGCAAGGTCGAACGGAGCATAAATGATGGATTCGTCACCTTCACCCGCTGGAACTTTTCCCTTCTTCAAAGCCAAAGCTTTCATCTTTTCCGACACGAATTCGGAGATTATTGACCATGGAATCATTGGAATGATTTGATTCAGGGCTAATTGCGCTGCCCATGCCGCGCCTTCTATCAACAGTTTGTAAGCTCGGGCTCGGACTTCTTCGTCGGCGCTTAGCTCGGTGAAGTAGAAAGTCGTTGCCATTTTCCCAGATAGAAGACCGCTGGAGGATTGTGCCGCTACCAAAGCGTCCTATATTTGCAAATCGAGGTCAGTTGCCGCCTCGCTCAGCTACCAAATATCAATCAACCAGGAGGAGGAAAGCATACATGAACGACAGTCAACGCCGAGATGAAGTGCGATGCAGAAGCCAACACGAAGTAGACCTGCCTTGCCTGCCTCAAATCCTCAACATGCGCCACAACCATCAAGCACTGCACACTGCACAGATGCTGGAACCCGATGGCACACTTGAAGTTCATGTCACCTAGGAAATCATACGCGATGGTGGAGATGACGCCGTGCTTTTGCATGTACTTGCGGTGCTGGTTCTTCATTGTAAAATCCCGAAGCCACTCATCGGCCCCGCTGAGGAGGTAATTCTCCTGAGTGAGGGCGAAGGGACGAGATTTGCAGATTTCGACATTTTTGATGGCGAAACCGGAGACGTTGTGGTAGATGGGGCCCAGCTGCGGCTCTCTGTAATGCAAGTCGCCATTTTCTGGTGGAGCGGAGTTCCGATCGGAGGGTGTGTCGGCTGGTATGGCGGTGTTTGTAAGGGCCTCATGCGGTGGAGTGCCGATTTTGCTGGTGGGGTTCAGGGAGGAGTTGTCGACTGTTTCAGCATAGGCGGGCAATAAGCCCTTGTGGACTTGAATCGATTGTAGTAGTATGCTTATCAAGAGGTATGCTCGGCACAGCGCCCATGGACCAATGCTGTGTCGAGCCATACTTTTTTTTTTTTCGGGCTGCTTTCTGTATCAGAGGGAGAGGGTGAGGTGAGAGGTAAGACAGCGCAGTCTTTACTGGGATATAACTGCGTTGTGGTTATATGTATCGGCTGTGGTTCCGAAGGTTGCTAGAAAGAGGAGAATTGCGTGAGTGGGAATCGAGAAGTGGGACTGCTGTTCTCTTTATAGTATAGGAACACTAACGCCTTTTATATCTTGGTTTCGCCTCAGAAGCCTCTCTGATGGAGAAATGGTAATTGGGAAGTGAGGAAATGCTGAACTAGAGGAAGGTAGGTATCGACTAGGAGAAATTTAGCGAGGGAAGAGAGCAATCCCCCCTGGTCGTCTGCTATCCTAATCCGAGAGGCCAGATAAACTGTAAATAGTGCTACGTGTGTCCTGAAGCCTGGTGTCATTTAAACTTTCCACAAATTGTGAGGCCGCTCCTGTTAAAAGCATATATAATTTGGGATCGGTGGTCAGCCAATTAGTCCGAGATCGTTCTCAAAAAGTGTATGGGGGGGTTGGAGACACTCACAAACTCTCACTCGTTGCACCTCGCACTAGCCACTCATGATCGGGCCACGTAAGCAATCGTGCTCAAACGCCGCCTCATGACCAACGCAACAGAACACCATATCCTGTTGTCAACGGGGGCACATTGAAGCTGCGAAGCTTTACGCGCTTGCCTCGGGGTTCGCTCTTCGTTCAAATCTGGGCCGTCGCCCTTGGACCGGAGGGGGAAATAAAAAAAATGGAATATTGTTCGGTATTATACGCAATCTCCTGTCGTATATTCATTTAGCGGCTCGCTTAGTTGCGTGGTAGACTTCCTCGACGGTAAACGTTTAACCAGGTCGGCTACCTAAGGGCTTAATTTAGCTGCATGCTTGATTAGAGGTTGGAGCTAACATCGCGGATATGGATGAGAAAGAAAGAGAAGAAAAGAAAAAGTGTTAACCTAAAGTCCCCTATGGAGGATGTGGAGATGAACTCACAGGTTGTCACTCGTAATTTCTTGCGCCATCATACTGTATCATGCATGTTGAGGCCCGTATTCGGAGTCCTCCTTCATATACCGTGTTGATCTAGCGATGGATTCGGAAGCATGGTTCTCACCTCAGAGGATCACGAGTTCGGTTACCGCCAGCACTGGATGGGTTCGGATATTCCGGGGTCCGGAGGCTTTCATCTTTCCCTATTATTTGCGGTTCTTGTATTCGCTATCCCTCCAACCACTCCGTTTCCCCTCTCGTCTCGTGACTGTGCCCCACAACTGTTGAAGGTTCTGGATAGATGGGGGGATGGATTGGAATTGATTGTGGAAGGTTCGGTAGTGTGGCAGCAAGTTTAGATGTTTCATGGATTAGTGTGGAGGTTCAGAGATTGGTAGGAGAGTTTCGTTAGACATGTCTTTCCTTTGTTATCATGGAAGCATATGGCTGGAAGCATATGGGGGAAAGAGCAGTTTGCATGGAGAGATAGTGAAAGGTGTGGTGATCGATGGAAGGATCAGGATCCATTGTTTATGTTTTACTTATACCGCTGTCTTTACTATTAGTTTGTTGGAGCGCGAACGAAGTTGTGTTTTTACCTTACCTCTCATTCTTATTCCTCAGCCACCATAGTTCTCCACATATTCTTTTAGTCATTTTTCGCTGCGTGACAGGCTATCCGTTGCTATCCACATTAACAACAACGCCTTTAGAGCAACTCGAATCTCTGATACGAAGATGGAGACTCGCCCCAGGTACCCGACAGTGGCCCCCGCTTTCCCTTCGTTATCACTTGTCAACGGAGGGGCGAAATGCCCACAGCTATTAGGTTTTCGTTCCCTAGTAGAGGTGCTGGAGAAGCCGGATAGGGAGCAACGGCAGACCTATAGGTTTAACGGTATGCCTCATGCAAAGCTGCGGGAACCAGAGGGATCCTTCGCTTTGGGAACTACGTAATGTTGTGGTTATCATTTCGCGGGCCTTTCCAACCAGTCCCACCCATCCATCCACTCCTCAATGACCAAAATCCTTGCACGTCGCATACCGGTACTTGTGCGGCAGTGCGAGTACTCCGCGTCCCACAGCCCTCCGGGGACTCACCACCTATCGTACCCTCCATTAGCCAATGCTGTACTACTCAACCCTCGACCAAAAACTCCCGAGGGCATCACCCGGGGCTCGGACTGCATCATGGGAGCAATGTTAAATCTGCGTATTATACCCTCCGGCTAACTTAAACCCCGTTCACCAACATCCCATCCGCCCCACCTTGGAAACCGTTGAATGTCCCCTTTCCACCCACCCCTCTAGCCATTCTCTGAGGAGCTTTAACGGCTGCAGAGTCCCCATGTCTGACGTCGGGATTGTCTGATTTTTTATATTTTTTACAAAGGGTTAATTTGGCTCGTGCAGGACAGGTTGTACAGTACAAGGTTTGATATGGTACCCGAGTATACCGTGCGTATCTGTCAGTTTTATCGAGCCGTTTCGCACCCTGAGCCAATGTTGCGATGAAGGCCCTCTGGCAGTCCGACCCGAGGGGCGAAAATTTTGGGGGGATTCTTGGCAAGCGGAAATAGCAGGAAATATTTGTTGCTGGAGGGGCGGAGAAGGCAGGGTAAATTGCCAGATTCCAACACAGGAAATAATCCTGTGATAATTCACTTTTTTCAGCAAATTTGAATCTATTATGCCTACTGCCCCTAGAGAGCGCTGGAGAAACTGGTGACTTCAAAGATGTTGAAAAAAAACCTTGGTGCCAAGGATTTGCGCCTTTGTGTGCCCTTGGCAGTAAAGTCTCCGAATGCTCATACAATTCGTAAGTACGGTACTGTAGGGATATCTACGCGCCCCCGGGCCCCGGGAAGCTTTGTGGGATATGTGAGCCGTTCCGGGCGGCTCTATTCATGACACAACAGCATACTCGGAAGATCAGATCCCACTGAGTGCGTGCGCAATTTATTTACTATGAAGTGGTTCCATTAAAATATTGTGGTAGAGTGTCCTAACAAAAGTGATAAGGAAAGATAACGACAGGATGCTGGAGGAGGAGGAGGAGAAAATGCAGCGCTTAGTAAGTGTAGCGGAATTCTAAATTTCTAAGGGGAGAGAGTTAGCTTTTGCTCGATGGTTTTTGGTAGGCGGCATTGGGGGTGAGCGTACTCTATATCGGTCAGATCCATGAACTCCTGGTTAGCCCTGTGCTGGTAAGTGTCCCCCAGCTCACGGATCTTCTTATCACGGGCAGCATTATTGCGCTTGTAATGGAAGCGGAGGCCAATGAGTATAGCGCCTGAAATGCACCAAGCGATCAAGCTCTATTGGCCAGTTAGCGGCGCGCTTACGGGCCGTTTCCACAAAGGAGTGCACTCACGATCGTTTTGGCCTTAACATACATGGGCCCATCCTTAAGATTGATAGTGTGAGGTCCGATCAGGTTTCCAACGCAGTATGCGATGACTAAGACGTTAGTCGAGCAAAAAAAAATCAAGAACCAAGAGGTACCCACAGACGATAGCATTGACGGTAGTTTTCTTGGTGTACCCAGCAACATTACTAGAAATGCAGCTGATAAGCAAGACAAAAGCTGCAGGGGCAACACCAATAATGTAATAAGCGGCTAGGTTTCCATTCAAGTTGCTTCTTGGGAGCGCAACGGCCAGTGTGAACCCGAGAAGGGAGATTGACATTGCAACGGCGGCCAAAGTCATGCGATTTTTGTATCTGTCGGCCAGCCATCCAAAGAGAAGAGAAGAAACAAATTGAACTTTAGGAAGAGGGGTGAGCTTTAGGATTCAAACTTGAAAGGTGTTATTTGGGTTTTCACCTGCGCCAGTGGGTGCACTATAGAGAAGTGACTTGTCGGCGCTCAATCCGAACCCCTTCAGGATAATGTTCTTGAAAGTGGTCAAGAAACCGTTGGGCTTTGATTGTATTAGCAGTCAATTTTCGAAGAACCCTTTCTGGGCAATAGTAGCGGGAACCCACAATCGCAGAGATGATGATAAAGAGAGCAATATAGTAAGTTTGCGGATCGGTAAATGCCTCAACAAATTGATGTTTCTTAAACTTCTTGCTTCCGATACCCTGGTTGTTCCCTCTCAATCTCTCAATCGCCATGATTCTCTCTTCTTTGCTCAAGAACCAAGCGGTAGCCGGAGAATCCGGAATAAGGAGCAAGAAGAGAATTCCCGAAAGAATGGTAAGACTATCAACCAATCTTAGCAGGTGGTCTGGGGCTCGTGCCAAGAATATTAACTTTACCCTCCAGTGGCGAGGAACAACAATTGCCATCCTCCGAGCGTGGTATACCCATGCTTCTCAATTCCCCGGACCATGGCATATGAACAGACGGAACCGACTATTTGAGCAATCCCATTCCAGCTGAGCCACATAGCTGTGCGAAATGCTTGCTCCTGGACGCGCCACCAATGGGACATAAAAAGAAGGAAGGCAGGCGTGATGGACGCCTCGAATATACCGAGTAAAAACCTTACCGCCATAAGCCCAGAAAAGTTTGAGCAAGCGGCCTTTTCGGTGCCCCACCATCAGTTATCCGTTTTGCCGGTGTCGTATCATCCCTGGAGGCGTGGAGTACGGAGAGAATCTCACATGTAACATCAGAATACCACCCCAGATGACGATGTTGAGGCCAGTGATTTTGGCCAATGGAAGTTTTTGCATGAGATCTAGTTTCAGGGATGTCAGAGGAAGGCCAAAGCGATATTTAGCGAGGAGGTGCACAATTTGCGGGGTACTCCTACAAGAAAGGAAGTTAGTATAGCCGCCTACCATTCGGGGGGAAGATTTGATTTGGTGGGGGATATCACTTACCCAGAACAAGTAGCCGAAATAGAAAACGCTCCCTACTTCCAATTAGAATCATGCCGATGTACCCTGAAAAAGAGTATGAACAGTGGAGGAGGGAAATACCAATCCAATTGAAGTCGTCACCCTTCAGGTTCGTGTCCTGTATGATGCCCATCACTCTGAACTTCTATTAGAACTCACCCGGCTTACTTCAACTATCTGCAGGCATTTGTGTAATTCATGAGACCTACGCAGCATAGGAAACCGTTGTTTTGTCCAAGAATTGCAATCCATAGAGCAAGGAAAATATCGGGATGAGATGTAAATCTGTTTCACGGCTCATGTTAGTTAAAATGTTCAGATACCGCCAAGCTAGGAGAGCCCCAAACATACCGATTTTCCAAAGTAATGCCCGTTCCTTCTCCGGAGTGAGAATAACTGGCTCACATCCGTCCAGAGCCTTCAGAGCTTCGTCAAGGCCAGCCGAGGATGGTCGGCTGTCAGAGCCATGGTTCCACTCGGCAACAGATTCCACGGAGCCGGCTGTTGAGATTACTTTATCCTTCATTGTGCAGGTTACCTCTGGCAAACTATGATAGACCCTTTCCCCTTCTTTGGAGCGACCTCGGTAACCAAAAGACCAGACACAAACACGAACACGAACACAAGAAACAGCAGAACACAAGGGCAAGGTCAAAAACCACAAGAGCAATTCGTTGGGGAAAGGAAAAGTAAGGGGGACAGTTCCCGTCCCGAAGGCTGCCGGATAGAAGTAGAATAGAAGTCTCGTGGTGCCCCTGCAGCTCCAAAATTCTATAGGGAGTTGGAGTATGCTGGGGGGTTGTGATGGGGGTCTTGGGGCGGGAGAGGTCTTTCTCTCATTCGGGGAGTCTCTGCGGCGGAAGAAGATTCAACCAGATGGGATTCTGGGTGCGCACTTCTTCTGTATTTGTATAGTAGATAAGTGACATCCTTTGCCGATCAACATGCTTCTCCGTCATATTTGCTGTCGAAAAGCAGGGGATGGGTGCTATGGGTATAGACTTGGAAATTGATTCAGAACCCACAGCCTAGACCAGGCAAGGATGGGGAGAAACAAGTAGAGCGTTACTTTAGAGAGTGAGATAAATGATGGACACTCTAAAAAATTAAGGACTACAATAGTTTGTTTCAATGATGTCCAAGTTTCTCCAAGAGTAGCATGGTCCTCACTCGCACGAGTGCCGGTATCGTATGTATTCACGGAGGGGGGTACTCCACTCTGGTACTGTGCTACTGCATTCCCACAGATATACAAGTACTCCTAAACAAAAATACTCCCTTTCAAACGTGGAATTCGCAATCCTTAGCAAATAAGGGGTTTATTACTATGATTTTTCTGGGCGGTTTCTCCAAGCTTCGCCCCTACAAGTAGTATTGTACTGTGTCCGATTACCGGAAGTATACAATTGGCTGGGGGGGGGGGGTCTATCCTCCTCTTTCCCATTTCATCACTTTGATGCACTCTTTTAGCCTAGGAACTAACCTAATGCATCTATCGAACTTCGGGACTGTTGCTTCACTGAGGTTAGTTTCTAGAAGAAGCCCATCAGGCCATGGCATAGAACCCAGTCGTGGGTGTTGGCAGGAAGGACTACTGACCGGTGTTCGTTACACTAGTGGTGAAGATAGAGGTAGGGTGCTTGTATCCGACTCCCAGTACAGTAACTGAAAATACGGCTTGTGTTACATAGCCACTCTACCAGCAAAAAGCGGTGACTCATTTTCAGATACTCCATGCCGGGTACGAGCAGATACACTCGACCGAATAGTGACTTTCTGCTCCATCGTGCGCATTCTGCCAGAGGGACTGCAAGGATTCGGCCAGGGTGAATGGCGGTTGGATCGTGGGGAAACCCTTTTTATCGTACAAACCAAAGACTCAGTTCACTCGGTGCGGAGATAATGTGGCCTTATGGAAGGGTGGCCAACCGAGGATGGCTAGCCCCACCAAAATAAGTCTCAAGCCTTCCTATGATTGGCCGACGGTTCGGTTTTTGTCGTCCTAATTCCTTGCATGCTCCTATCCTTACGAGTACTGTACTTTATCCATTACACCCCAGTCGCACCTCGCTGCGGTGGACGCCACGAGTTCGGGTTTTTCGTTTCGTTACAACGAGGTTCCAATACAGTAAATGGCGGAGAAGTAACAAAACATTGGCTGTATGGGATGTTCTTTGTTCTGGTGATTTTCGAGCGCTTATTTTCACTTACTGATAGTTTGGCTTATTCATGCACTCAGCAAGAACTAGAGAGAAGGGGGACTAGAACTCTTGGATTTGTGTTGGTTTCGGGATCGGCATCTCGGGCATACGGTCATGATTGTGGGGTTTGGGGAGAAAAGTTCTATAAAAAAGTCAAGAGAGGGCCCTCTAGGATGGAGAACCTCAGGATATAATCCGCTCAGAGGTTCAGCTTAACATATCACACTATGACGTTTTTCTGCTGGTCGATTGAGTGCATTTCATTACAGTAGGCCGAATTTTTATGGAGACAGGGGGCTAATATCCGAAAATTCAGTGCGAATTCATTATAGCATGTTCTGCAATATAAATTTATATTTTATTATAGCGAGAAAATTTGTATGGGGCATTCGAGTTCCTAAGCGACTCGTCCGTGATAGTGGTTTTTCCACTTTAAGGAGGTCCATTATTATAGCGAGGTGCGACGGTATGTAAAAACCCTTCGGCAAAGCTTGAAAGGAACAGACACCGATTTTCCTCCTGGAATAGATGTCTGGAGACGGTGTGTTTGTGGTGGAGAAGGGTCTCGCTAATGAGAGTGGACTGCCTGTTCTAGTGTTCTCTAAGGATTTTTCGCTAAGGCGGTATGGCCACGTATAGAGGCGTTCGAGCTCGTGATAGATTGCAGTAAGGCCATACGGGACGGGGCCGGACGAGAAAAGGAAGGGAGGATCAAGAATACAATGCAAGTACCGGTACTCGAGTACTGTGCTGGCGCGATATCCCCACCGCTAACCTTGGGTATCGTACCTATGATACCCCATCCTTACTTCAATAATCTCGGCTATATACCCCCATGCCGAGCCATTACTCTACTCGGGAATTGCAAGCATGTTTTATTTCATTGGTCTAACCAAAGGGGAGCCCTTTCGCCGATTGCGGTTAGGGCTCAAACTATACCCGGAGGATTCGGGGTGAACTATTCCGGGTATATCACGTTGTATCGGACATAACAACTTACAATACCTGGCGAGTGCCAAAAACGACGCAACCCCGCCCTTGAATTCTTCCAAGGGAGACCGAAAATGATTGCCATACTATAAAATATCGACTGATGGGTGGGTGGGAAATTCGGGGGGATACACCCGATCTACGGTAGTCTAAAGTCCCACTGCGGCCAGCCTATCAATTTGGAGAGGAATGATACTAAGCGCAGACGAGTGTACTCGAGTACAGTACTAGTACAGGATCTCCAGGTAATTACAACGTACTACCGGTCAGGCCCCAGGGAGCCCGGGCTATTGCCCCAGGTGGAGACTTACGAAGTAAACGCACCAAGACCGCCCGCAGGATACGGGGGAACACAATTCACCCCAAACCGGAAGCTGCTCTCTACAATCAGGATAATTCCGCGGCCGTTATAGTTGGAGAGGGGAAAAAAAGAAAAAAAAGCTGGAGTTGGATGGATGGGATGAGAGGTGAAAACAGAGGATAGCGTACTGCACTCGTGCTGCAATGGACACAAACACCTGCAGTTGCCTTGGGAAGGAAGTTTCAAAGAAGGTCTCTGTCCCTCCTTCTCTCACTCACCTCCTTCCAAGCAATCTCCACCTTTATATTACCTGGCCCACAAGATCTTCGGACCGTTGGGCGGATAGGAAAGAACGTAAGGCTGGTGGGTAGGGCATAGCCAAACCATCTTGTGCCGCTAACATATATTTGCTTTAATTAATCAATACATGGGTGAGGAGGGGGAAAAAAAATGGGAGAGAAAGAGAGATGAAGCTCGGATAAACTTCATACTTAAGCGAGGTACGGTACGTGCGGAGAACGCATTACGTTTTTTTTTTGTTATTACTATCATTTTCTTTTGGAGTTTGATCGGTATTTCCTCTTTCCATTCATTCTCTCTTGTCTCTGTATAGCCCAAAGCTCTAGAATAAGACGAGCTGTCCCACTGATACTGATCAGCAGAGTGTTGTCGTTGGAGTCTTATCGTTCTGTCAACACCATACCGTGGACAGTACTGTACGAAAAAACTCTGGGGGAGAATTTTTGAAAGAAGGACACAAAGAGAAGGAAGAGAGTGGGCCAGAGGTCTAAAGAGATATTGCAAAGATGTCGGCGGTCACTCCGGAGGGAATGATAGGAATCCTTTGGTTCTTCGTTGTTTTCGATGCTACATTTCTCGCTATTCGATTCTACTTGATCATCGCTCGCCCTCGTGTGACTGTCGCGGCTTTCGCTAGTGAGGCTTGTATTTTCGCCGCCTTCTTGCTGATATTGCTGGAGACGACGTCGACAACAGTGTACCAGGCCATGCGAATCAAGTACCGCAATGACCCCACAATACCAAAATCGCTGGGCATGCCCAGAGAAACGCTGATTCTGATATTTAAGGTACCTGACTGCAATCGCACCTCTTTGAATTTCTTCCACCTTGCCTATTCCTATTTTTGTTTTATATACAATATTGTTCTTTTCGGTTTATGCAAATGCTAACCCAATCTTCTTACTAGTTCCAACTGGCAGAGGTTGAGATGTACATTACTGGAGTATGGCTAGTGAAGGGTTCTTTCCTGGCGCTGTACTTCGACATATTCCGTTCCCTACAGCCCAAAGTTAAAAGGATGCTTCAATTCACGACAGTTTACACTATTTTGAGTTGGTTTGCGAATTTCTTGTTACCCCTGGTTTATTGTCGCCCTCTCAGCCTTGTATGGTAAGTGCCATCCCATAATATTGCCCGCGATGGTAGATGAAAGCGCTCGGACTAATTTTGCTCCCAAAGGTCAATTGAGAATCATTGCACTTCTTTCCGTTCATCACTCGGAACAACATTTCCGATGGTGACAAATGTGACTACGGATTTACTAAGTACGTTTCCGCCGTTGAAGTGCGGTTTCCGGAACATACTAACATGAAGAAATCCGGTCGAAGTCATGGTCATTCCAATCTTGGTGCTGAGGACATTGAACCTCCGAAAGTCCGAAATTGCTGCAATCGCCTTCTTACTATCGCTCGGCTGTCTCACCATAATAGCAGCGCTCCTCAGATACGCCTATGTCACAAAACGCAACGCGTTGGGGAAGAGCGGTAGCCCAAACCTAGTAACGTAATACAAAATTTCCCCTCCCCTACACATTTTTCCGACCCACCCCCTCCACTCCCCGTCCTATCATGTACCCCTCCCCCGAATTCAAGGAAAGAAGGAAAACCCCTAATATTAACCCACTGCCTCGCCCAACAGCCAAGCCCAAATCTGGTCCTACGCCGAATGTTGCATCGCGGTGTTCGCCGCATGCTTACCCGCCGGGCGTGTCCTCCTCGCCCGCCGCAAGCTGCATAGCACCACGGGCGGCAGTTCCGGCCGTGGGCACAGCGGCTCCTCCGGAAAGATGGCCAGGAACAGACAGGAGCGCTTGCCGCAGCGTGGAAGTCCGGGTGAGCACGGGCTCGCCGTTTTCAAGTCTATGAGTTTTGGCGTTGAGAGCACGGCCGAGTTGACGGAAGGGCGGGCGGATTCTGAGGAGGGATCTTCGCATGGGAGGAATGGATCGCCACCACAAGGGTCGGTGAA